CGGCGGCGTGGGGGGCGGCGGCACGGGCGGTGGCGGCACGGGCGGCGGCGGCACGGGCGGCGGCGGCACGGGCGGTGGCGGCGGCGGCGCAACGTAGTTGCATTGGTGGCCCAGCAGGGTTGTGTATATGCACGTGGAAGAGCCGGTGTAGGCTGTGCAGCATGTCTTGCCATAGCTCTCAATTGCGCAGTCATTCATGCAGTTTCCCTCCGCAGGGCACATGGCCCCTTCTGCACATTTTGGTGGCGGCGGCGTGGGCGGCGGCGGCGTGGGCGGCGCCGGAGGCGGCGGCGAGGGCGGCGGCGAGGGCGGAGGCGAGGGAGGCGGCGGCGAGGGCGACAGCGACGGAGGCGGAGGCGAGGGCGGCGGAGGGGCTGGCGGCGGCGGCGCCGGAGGCGGCGGCGAGGGCGGCGGCGAGGGCGGAGGCGAGGGAGGCGGCGGCGAGGGCGACAGCGACGGAGGCGGAGGCGAGGGCGGCGGAGGGGCGGGCGGCGGCGGTGCCGGAGGCGGCGGCGTGGGAGGGGGCGGGGCTGGCGGCGGCGTGGAGGGCGGAGGAATTGGGGGCGGTGAGGGCGACAGCGACGGCGGTGGCGGCGAGGGCGGCGGAGGGGCAGGCGGCGGCGGTGCCGGAGGCGGCGGCGTGGGAGGGGGCGGGGCTGGCGGCGGCGTGGAGGGAATTGGGGGCGGTGAGGGCGACAGCGACGGCGGCGGCGGCGAGGGCGGCGAGGCGGGCGGCGACGAGGGTGGCGAGGCGGGAGGTAAAGACGGCGGCGAGGCGGGCGGCGACGAGGGTGGCGAGGCGGGAGGTGACGAGGGCGACGAGACGCTGGGGGCGGAGGTCGGAGCTGACGAGGGCGACGAGACGCTGGGGGCGGAGGTCGGAGCTGACGAGGGCGACGAGGAGGGCGGCGAGGCGGGAGGTAAAGAGGGCGGTGAGGCCGGTGGCAAATAGGGCGGCGAGGCGGGAGGCGACGCGGGCGGCGACGCAGGAGGCAGCGCGGGCGGCGAGGCAGGAGGTGACGAGGGCGACGAGACGCTGGGGGCGGAGGTCGGAGCTGACGAGGGCGACGAGACGCTGGGGGCGGAGGTCGGAGCTGACGAGGGCGACGAGGAGGGAAGAACAGGGAAAACGCTGGGGGCGGAGGTCGGAGCTGACGAGGGCGACGAGACGCTGGGGGCGGAGGTCGGAGCTGACGAGGGCGACGAGGAGGGCGGCGAGGCGGGAGGTAAAGAGGGCGGTGAGGCCGGTGGCAAATAGGGCGGCGAGGCGGGAGGCGACGCGGGCGGCGACGCAGGAGGCAGCGCGGGCGGCGAGGCAGGAGGTGACGAGGGCGACGAGACGCTGGGGGCGGAGGTCGGAGCTGACGAGGGCGACGAGACGCTGGGGGCGGAGGTCGGAGCTGACGAGGGCGACGAGGAGGGCGGCGAGGCGGGAGGTAAAGAGGGCGGTGAGGCCGGTGGCAAATAGGGCGGCGAGGCGGGAGGCGACGCGGGCGGCGACGCAGGAGGCAGCGCGGGCGGCGAGGCAGGAGGTGACGAGGGCGACGAGACGCTGGGGGCGGAGGTCGGAGCTGACGAGGGCGACGAGGAGGGAAGAACAGAGGACGCATCCGAACCGCCGCATTTCGCCCGCCGAAAAGTCTCCCACTCGCGCCCTCCCCAAACCCAAATGCTCTCTCTTTGTACATACCCATCACTGAGCCGACGATGCTACGGGTAGCCCCAGGGCGCCGCCCACCCCAATACCCTCGGGCACTTGCCTGCGCCCTGGCCGCGCATGCCGCGCACGCCCGCGCACGCTCCGCGCCCTCTGGCTTGCGCTCGCCCGCGCCCTCTGGCTTGCGCTCGCTCCACGACGCCCACCCTAGAACGGGTGGCTGACCGCGCGCGCCGCACTACGCGGCACTGCGTGGCACTGTGTGGCGCTTCGCCGATCTGAGCAGGGAACCTGGGCGTTTTGAAATTCCGTGCAAGGGGATGCCGAGGTGTGCCACAGGCCGGGATGGAGTGAGATCTTCTTGCGGGGCAGGGCGTGGGCTAGCGCGCGAGGGCGCAGGCAAGTGCCCGAGGGTATGGGGGTGGGCGCCACCCTGGGGCTACCCGTAGCATCGTCGGCTCAGTGATGGGTCCGTCCGTTGGGCCCGCGTCAGCTTGTTCTGCAGCACGGTTCGCCGCCTTCCAAGAGAGGAATCTCGCCGACCCTTTCGGTGAAAGAGACAGCGAATCGCATCTTTTACTTCGATGCGGATGCGATCCTTCGAATTCACCGCAAATAATCAGAGGAACAGTCGGGGCTTTGGATCCCTAGTACGTGCGTTCAGTCCACTCACCGCAAGACGCAGCTCGCACGCGCCTCGCGGCCAGTAGATGACTTCGGACCTGCAACAGCGGAGCCTAGCGCCACGGAGCGGCAACGACAGCGAGTCCGACAGCTCCGCCTCCCTCCCCTCCCTGGACTACTCCATGGCCTGCTGCGAGTGCGCGCACCTGTGCCGCTGTGTGCCGCTGTCCCTCCGTCCCTTCCACCCCTCGCCTGGCCTCTCCTCGGGATCTAGGTGATCCTGTCGTGCCCCACCGCGGCGACAGCACGGCTGTACGCCCTCGAACGCAGGTGTGGCTCTGACTGCAGCGCCTGCGGCCTGCCGGTCTTTTTCTACCGGGACCGTGCCTTCTGTAGCCCGGACTGCCGCTCGACGGCGTTCGAGCGGATGCGCTGTAGCGCGCCGTGCAGGAGCTCGTCTCCGGGCGTCGGGCCCGCGGCGGACGCGGCGCTCCAGGCTTGCACGCGGCCGGCCCATGCACTTTCTCACTGGCTCTTGGTTGACCTGTCCGCACCTGCGACTTAGGCCTTTTGCCGCGGCGCTGTGGTCCGAATATCGCGCCAGTCGACAAGTGACTCGGCGTCCAGCGGTAGACTCTCTCTCTTTGGCGACGAGCCCCGCGACGAGCAGGTCGGCGCTGCCAGTCATGACGGCGCGGGGTGGTAGCTACATCCGCACACCCAGCCGCGCAGCGCGCTGGGCACGACGCTGGCATTTGGCAACTAACGACACCATCTGTACTATCATCCCAGACACTGGACCAACTGCCGATGCGAGGGTGGTGAGTCAAATTTGATGGTCTATGCGCCGTTTTGGCGTTCTCTGTGACGTCGTCGTACGCGCGGAGTGTGCGCCGCCCGCGCCGCCGCCGCGGCCGCGCCGCGCCCCGCCGCCGCGCCGGACCGCGCCGTGTGTCGCGGCGTTCATGGCTAGCTTGATTTTTGTCCTGTCCCGCTCATTGTCGCTCTTCCTTGGTGTTTCGTTGATAGATACTATCGAAGTTTTACATGTAACATGTATGTTGTAAGTGGACCGGCAAGACAGATCGTGTGCGCGCACTGGGCCCGCGCTGCCACCGCGCGCTCTTTATTTGGCGCGGCGGCACAAACTGGCTGATGCCGACGAGGGTCGTCACCAGCGCGTCCTCTCCCAGCCCATTAGTCCGCCACAGTGCGCGGCCGCACGACGAGCGGCCAGAGCCTCGCATGTCGAAAACGGCGATGCACGCGCGGCCACGCAGGCTCGAAAGGAAGCCGAGTGCCTGCCACAGCTCGAGAGTGCAGCCCCAGCCGTGCATCCACTGCTCACGAATCAGCCGCGGATGGAGGAGCGGGCCCCACCAGCGCGGCGCGCTCGTCGCTGTCTCCAGCAAGAGGGAGCGGCTCGCCAGGCTGCGCCTCGCGTCCTACCACCTCGATCACAGGCACAGCCACGGCCACGGCAGTACGATGACGGCGGCGGTCGCAGCGGCACACGACAGCGAGCGCCAGGATCGTCATGAATAACATCGCCGCGATGGTGACGGAGCTGAGAGCAATCATCATCCCGAAGGGAGGATCGTGATCATGCCAGCCAAGTGGAGGTCCAGTATGCGTGAGCGTTGTGTGTGTGCCGCTCATGTCGGCGTGTCAGCGTGCGGCCACCGCTGTCAGCGTGCGGCCACCGCTGTCAGCGTGCGGCCACCGCTGTCAGCGTGCAGCCACCGCTATCAGTGCGGGCTGAGGGCCAAAAGTAAAACGCGCAACGCCGCTCTCGGCTCTCAGAGAGGCGTTATATCTCAGTAACCCCGCTCGCAGGTACTAGAGCAGCGTTCGTCAAGCTCAAACCCCACTCTACACAACACAGAGCAGCGTTTGCCTAACAAGACTCCGCTCTGCAACCTTCAGAGCGGACTCTTCGGGGGTGCGGCTCGAGCCAGTCCGGGTCGTCGGACCCGGAGATTGTGTCGCTGATCACACCGTCCTCCGATGGCGGTGCGCTTCTCCAGGACTCCTCTCGCAAGGGGCCAACAGGAGGAGGCGCGTCCACTGGAAGGGACGCTGCTCTCTCCACTGGAGGGTAGGGTTCCACCCACGGGCTCGCTCCGTGCGAACTCGCTGTAGGGGTAGTTTCATTCATAGCTATGGACCCGCGCGCGCCGCGCAGGCCGATTGCGGGGCTCTCCCACAACCACGCTGACCAGATCCCCGGACCAGCGACAGAGGCGAAACGACACTCGGCCCGCCGACACAATTCGACCACTGGACACCATAACTAAATGCGGCGCAGGCCAATCTCAAGTTCCCTTCTCAATTCTTCGCGGGTTTTGGTGCAGTCACCTTCCCCCGCGACATGCGCGCTGATCGAGTACACGCTGCGCAAGTCGGCAGAGGAGGCGGCGATCAAGGGGGCGAGGCTGAAGCTCTGGTGGGCAAAGTCGCAGCAGGCGGCCGACAACGCCGACGCGCGGAAGTACGTGAGCCAGGCCTACGGCGCGCCGGTGCCCCCGCCGGGCGAGGTTGCCGTCTTTGGAGCGGCCGGCGGCGCGTCGCTGTACCCGTCGATGAACCCGAGTGCGATGGGCGCGCGGCCCGACGCCAGGTGATGGCGATGTGGTGGCGGTGGCGAGGGTGATGCGCCGCCGCCGAGGGCGATGCGTTTTGTGCTGGGGGAGACGTCTGGGAAGAATTTCACAATACTTGGAAACTTACCAGAACTGCCATAAATTCTGCAGGGGCGCGCGCGGGGGGCGGCGGGTGTGCGGGATGTCTGTGGGCCCGAGAGCGATATGCCATGTCCGCCTTGCGTTTGTTTCATATCATCGAAGGCTAAGCTCAACTACCCACCCACCCTACTTCGTGGGGACCCCCCCGCCGGTCGGTGGTCTGCCCCCGAGGTGGACCGGACCCCCCCTCCGGTCGGTCGCTCTCTCGGCGGCGGGAGGTGTGACGACGGACCGACCCCCCCCTCGGTCGGTGTCCTTGCCGTGAGCCCCCTCAATCAAACGCTCTCCCTCCTTCTCGCGAACCGCCATGTGCGCTTCGAAAATGCCGGGTTTCACTAACACTATGAAAACTAGTTACGCAGCCAAGCGCCAAGGAGACTTCTTCGCCGAGGCCCGAGCGAGCCCGACTCCACTCACACACATATGAGATATGTGGAGCATCCACGCAGTCGCAGGCCTGATCCTGCTTGCCGTCGCTTTGTACAAGCTCTGGCAGCGCTCCAGTTCTCAAAGGTACGCGCGCGCATCGTCCCTTCCAATGACTACGATGACTTGCCAGACCGCTTGATCGACACATCGCCGCCGCCGTCACCGGGCTCATCGGCTTCCGAGTCGCTCAAGCGACAGCGAATGGCAATCGATCCGGGTGCTTCTCAGTTTTAGAGATACTAATAGAGATGCTAATTTATTCACAGCTGCGGCGAGCATGTGCGGTGTGACCCTCGAGCCAACCCGACCGACCGACCCCCCCTCGGTCTGCGCTCCGACCGACCGGACCCCCCCTCCGATCTGCGGTCTTCCGCGGCCGCCGACCGGACCCCCCCTGCGGTCGGTCGGTCTGCGCTGGGCGCTCAAACCGCGAAGTCGGCCTTTTCACTAAGATGACGCTCATGAAAAAGAATTTAAACAAAAGAACTCTCTCTCACAGCAGACAGGCTCGACACAGGTGCGAACTGGCGCGTGCTAGTACTATCACCGGCACACCACCGGAGCCGCCGAGCGATTCTAAGATCAGGTCTGCCACCTCCCCGCTGGAAACGAAAATCTAAGTTACAAATCTCGAATAAATCTCGAAGCACACTTGAATGCTCACTTGGCAGGTAACATATGCGCCACGCGCCCCAACCGCTCCTCTGGTCGCCGCCGGCCTCCGCGGCGGCGGCGATGTCCCAGCGCCACCCATCGGCCAGCCCTCAGATCGATCGATCGGCGCTCAAAGTCGGCTTCAGATCCGAGAACGCTGCTGGCGCCGCCGCCGATCCCAGCGGCGACGCCAGCAGCTTCCTCTGCTCTCCAATGCGCCGAGAAGCGACGCGGGGGTGCTCGGCCCGCCATGCACGACGAAGGCTCCGCCGGGCGCGCGTCGGCCGGTCCGGTGGCACCCTCTGCGCGCGGCACCTGCCGGCGCCCCGACGACAGCCGTCGCGCCACCGCTGATGGAGGGGCGGTCGGCGCCGCTGCCGCCGCGCTGCCGGTGGGAGGGGCACTGGTGGTGGCCTGGGCGGCCCTCCGCCGCCGCTCGGGGCGCCCGGGCAGCGGTGGCAGCCTGCCGCCGCACCACTTCGAAATGCCCGCTGACCACTTCGAAATGCCCGCTCCGGCGGCCCGCGATCGGCGCTATTCTTTTTTCTACAAGCAAAATTCGAGCCAATTGAGGAAACTGAAGCGGGCAGGCTGGAAGCACTGAGGGACGGCCGATTTTCGCCCAGTGGCAGGCCTGATCTTAGAATCGCTCCGCCTAAGCGACTCCGTTAAGAACGGCAATGCACTTAGCACCGTGCACAATGCCGCTGTCCCCGCACGCTAGCTCGTTCACCGTCTGCCACGCCACGGCGGTGTGGAGAACGACAGACACAGGACAGACAAGCGCTGCATCTGCAGCCCGTGCCAGTTCTTGGTGGTCCATGTGACCTCATCGAGGTGCTGAGCGTGCGAAAGTTTGTTACTCAGCTGGTCCGCCGCCTGCCGAAGAATTTTGCGGACGCCGTCCCCGAAGCCGCCGAACGTCTCGAAGTCGAGCAAACGCAGGTCGCAATTCTTCTCCCGCGCGAACCGGTTGTCCCCTTTTTTGTAGGGGGCCTTCCAAGGGGGCCCCGGTTTCGCTTTCCCCTCATTTTCCCCCTTTTTTTTTTTGGGGGCGGCGGCTTCCGCTTTTGGATTTTTGGGCCCCCCCCCCCCCCCTTTCCCCCCCCCCCCCCTCCGGCCGCGGCCAAGCAGCATGCCCTAACACTAAGTCGAGCAGCGCCCGCTCGGTGTTGCCGAAGGCGACAAAAGCCCCCTTCCAGCCGAGCCGATCGCCACCCTTGCACGCAAGCGAGCTCGTAAGTTTCAAGTCGCCAACGAGGCGCACATGCCCTTTGCCGATGTTCGCTGCCGCCACGTCGGTTGTTGAAAAGAAAGCCCGGCGATTTGGCTGCCTGTGTCTCCGGCCGGCGAGGCACGCTCCCCCTTTCGATGCGCCTTTCGATGCGCCTGCTTCTGCTCGGCGTCCTTGCAGGGCTAGCTGCTTGCGGCCCCCCTCTCATCGAGGGCGACGCCCTCGGCTCGGACTCGGTCGTGCACGCCAGCATCGACGGGCACTCGACGGAAGCGGCGCGCTCGGCTCCGCCTGGGTTTGAGACGGCTGGGGGCACCTCCCAGCGCCAAGCGGGCGGCGCCAGCCGCAACATGCTGGGCGTCCCGACCGACGTCCAGCGCAAGATCGACAACCGCGGCAGCCTCGGCGGGCCGCGCAAGACCTGTTCCGCCTTTGACGGCTGCCGCGGCGGCGGCGACTATGCGGAGAAGATGGTGAGTGTCGAACTCGCCGGCGCCGGCGCGGCAGGATCGAGCGCACATCACGCGCCGAGCGCCTCTGCGTCGCTTGGCGAGGACGCGTGCGCGGAGGTGGCCAAGAGTGAGAAGTGCGTCATGAACGAGTGCGCGTGCGCGACCAGCGAGTCCTGGGACGCCTCAGGCACCTGCGGTGCCGACGGCGGCGAGACATTGGGGCATTCACGGCCGACAATCGAGATCGCGCAGGGCGAGAAGCTGCACCAGACCGGCGCGCGCGGCTTCGTGCGCGCCATCGTCGACAAGATCAGCACTTTAGTGACGGTGACGCAGCAGGGCCCGCTACGCTCGGAGCGCATGGCTTGCGCGGACCTGTCGCAGGAGAACGCGGCGGAGGACGCCGTCCTGACGGCGGCCGTGCTGCCCTTCGCCCACGAGCGCGGCGCGCCGGCGGCTGCAACCACCAGCGGCCCCATCGCGGGCGACACGGATCACGGCCGGTTCGACCTCAGTCAGTGGCTCAGCGGAGGCCGCGGCGCCCTGCTGAGCATTCGCTGCGGCACGTGGGTCTCGTTTGCAACGCTGAGCGTTTGTGCCGGCATGTGCGTTGTGCTCATGTGGCGGCGGCGCACGTTGGCCGCATTACAACGCAGGTGGGCTTGGCTTCACGTTAACAACTTTGACGAAGTCAAGGGGACAGCGCAGCTCAGCCTCTTCTCTCGAATGAAGTACGGGCATACCCCGTCGATCAAGCAGTGGGTTGACGTCCTCGAACAGCGCCTGTCAGCGCTGGCTCCTGCCGGAGCTCGTATTTGCATCGCGGGCTCTTCGTGCGGCCTCGTTCCCAATTGCGCAAACCTGGTGGTAGACGAGCTCGTGCGCCGCACCGGTGGGCGCTACCGGCGTGTGCACGTCAGCGTGAGCTTGCCCAAAGATCAGTCTCTCCGCAGCCTCAACTATTGCAATCTGAGCATGGCGGAGCGGGAGGCTGAGATGGCGACTCGATCGGTGCGCGTGCTGGAGCCGGAAGTCCTCGGAGAGAGCGATGCAGTGCTTGTCGTCGACGACATAATCTCGACGGGGCTGCATGAGCAGCAGCTCCGAGAGGCCCTCTCCAAGCACATCGACGAGCGACGACTCGGCTTCTGGTACTTCATCGCCCTCTCCCCGGAGAGCGACCCGAAGACTGAGTACGCGCTGGCGCACGCGCTCTACCCGGACGCGACCAAGCTGTGTTGCGACATCGCCGCCAGCCCCGACGGCGCGCACCAGATCACAAAGCGCATGCTCACCTTCCTGCTGACCGGCGACTTGCCTCCAGACTTTGCGCACCTCAGCGCGCTGCCCGCCGGGTTCATCCGGCGGCTCCTCGACACGCTCGACTCGTCTGGCCTCCGCCACCTCCCGAGCTACCAGGCGGGTTACTGCGCGTTGGCAGAGCTCCATCAGCGCGCGTCGGTGGCCACGCGGCGGCTTGTGGCGCGGGCGCCGGTGCCCGACGTCAACGCGTGCATGGACAGGGTGGAGCTGCGTGCAGGCGAGAAGCTCGTCTGGCACTTCCGACACGGAGAGTCGGCGGCGAATGCCGCCGGTCAGGTCGCCTCGGAGGCGGACGGGGATCGCGGCGACGGGCTGTGCACCGAGCGACAGCGGCACGAGGCCGACGCGGACTATGCAGACGCGCGGCTCACGGCCACGGGCATCGCGCAGGCGCAGGCGCGTCGCGCCGATCTGGGCGTCTGGCGCAGGCGACCGTCCCTCATCGTGTCGTCGCCACTGACCCGCGCTCTGCAGACCGCCGCGTATATCTTCGCGGACGACCTCGCGGCGGGTGTCCCGCTCGTCGTCCGCCCCGAGCTGCGCGAGTTTTTCCCAAACCTGGCGCAGGACGCTGGGAGGCCGCTGGCCGCGCTGCGCTCTGACCCCGCGATCCGCGCCCTGCCCAATGCGAGCGTGGTCCTATCGGCCTTGTCGAACGAGGCGTGCGCGCAGTGGCGCCACGAGTGGGATGAGTGGCAGGCAAACGGCAGCGCCACCGGCGCGCGCGCGCGTAGCTGGCAGGCCCACTGCGCCGACGGCGGCCGCATCGCCGACTTCAAGGCGTGGCTGCACGGCCAGGGCCACACCTTTGTGGCGACCGTATCCCACTACGGCACCGTCAACGCCCTCGTCAACCACGAGCCGTGCGTCGAGGCTAGCGGGCAGCCGCGCCGCCCGGCAGAGGAGGTTGGGGGCCGGAATGCCTTCGCATGGAGGCTTGGCGTGCTCCCGCCAGAGGGCGGCATGAAGATCAGCATGCCCAACTGCGGCCATCTCGCTCTCGTGTACAGCGAGGAAGACTCGGAAGCAGACTAGCCTCTAGCAGCGAGGCCGGAGGTAAGTAAGATAAAAATAAAAACGGAACCTCTCTGTGAGATGGGGGTAAAAAGGAACAGGTCCCGCTATGGCGTGCGCGGTGTGAAATACACATTATTTAGATTCGATCGATGAATGAAGATTTGCCACGCAGCCGCGCCGATTACTTCAAGATAGTCCAGACCGACCCGCCGGCGCTCGCCGTCCCGGCGCCCGACTCGCCATCCGCGGAGAACACGCAGCCTCGCACTCTACTGGACTGGCTCGCTGCTCTTCGCGCTGCTGGCGGTGGCGCCTCCTGGCGCGCTGCTCTCCCTGGACCTCCTTCCGTTCTGCTCGCCCGCCTTCTTCCTCGCGATTCGGTGGTTGGGCATCCGCCACGACTCTCTGGCTGGCAGGCATACTGCTTGTCCATGGCGACTTTTTCTCGGCGCGTGGCTCCTCGGTCCTCGCCGAGGAGGGCGCTCCCGGGCCTCCCAGCAGAACGCTTCGCCCTTCGGTCCACCCTCGCCGTCTCCTCCTCCGCCGTCGGCGCGCCATCGCCGCCGTTTATGCAGCTGAGGCTGGATGGGGCCGCTGGTCACTGCGCGGATCTGCGCTGCGCTTCGAGCTGCGCGTGCCGAATCTGACGCGTGCGGCCGACGTGCGGTGCGAGTGCCTCGCCGGCCTCCTCGACGTGCGCGTGAAAGACGAGCAGCTCTCGATGGTCGGCTTGTGGCCGGGCCATGGGCCGGGCCCTCTCAGGTGCAGCCGACCGAGCTCAGGTGGCTGCTCGATACGTCGGCGGAGGGCGAGAGGTGTAGAGCTCGGCCCGCAGTGCCCAGAAGCCCAGGCGCTCCACCGCGCCTGTTCTTTCGACCTATTCTTCACCGTCCTCTCCCTCCGTCGCCACGCATGTGCAGGTTGCTGTGCGTCGATATGCCGGTTCAGGGGTGGACGCCGCCGGAGCAGGGGTGGAGCCCGAGTGGAAGGCTGCGGCGGCGCGGCTCGAGCGCAGCGGCCCGGCCGCCACCGACGGCCATCTTTCGGTCGCTCCGCGTGGCTGGGGCGCGGAGGTGGTTGGCGAGCCGCTCCTCGTCCTGGGCAGGCAAAGGACCGCGTCTCGTCCGACGAGTTTCTGCGCGCGCTGGCGCTCTCTCTCTTCGTCTCTGCGCGGCAGGCGCGCTAAGACGGCGACTGGCCCTTTACCAATGGTGGAGAGGGGGTGCTGCTCGAGGAGTGGCTCAATCCAGCCGGACACCGTATGCCGCCGCCCGCCACTGCCAGCTGCGCCGCCTCCGTGTCCTTGGTGGAGCTCGATCGCTTCGGCTGGCGGGTGCGCTCTGGCGACTCGCACCTACTGCGCACCCCGCTGGGCAAGCTGCAGGTTCCAGCGAGCCGCGCGTCTGCAAGCGTCAGCCTCGCCGACGCGTCGCCGGTGCCCGAGATGAGCAATGGGACCCTGCCCAGGTGCGCTCACCCACGCGCAATGGGACCCCTGCGCGTTGAAGGCCGTGGGGCTCCTGTCTTGCGACGCGTGGAGAGAGTCGCGAGGGATGGCCTGGCGCCCTGGTGGAGAAGTTTACTTGCCCTGCCCCCCTTGCCCTCGTCCAGACGGCGCCGCTCCCCTTCTTCGCCGCGGTCTTCTCCCTCTACTTTGTCGACCTCTCCACAGAGCTCATCATCAACGCCGTCGGGTCGCGGGCGCATGGCTGGAGCCGCGTGCCCGAGGCGCGAGAGATGCGAGGGAGAGGCGGCCCCTTGCCCCACACTGGCGTGTGGACAAGCGCACCTCGCCCCACATCAGGCGCTCCTCGCAGCTCTGGACGCTCTCCTCGTCGTCGTGGCCGCTTGCACCACCTGGCTGCCGGCCGCGCTCTGCACGTGGCGACTGCGCGCCGTGCCGCATGTCTCGCTCGCCGCGGTCTTCTCCCCTCGCGAGCGGCGCGAGTCCGCCATGGCCCTCCTCACGCCGTACGTGAATCGTGATCGTCCCGCGCTCCCGGCCGTCCCGTCCAGCTTCGTGGCCATCCTTCTCGTCGTGTGCGGGTTGCTTGGGCGGAAGCCGGAACGGCAGCCGCCCTCTCCTCGGATCACCTCACGGTGGACACGTTGTTATAAAGAATCCGTTTTCACCAGAGCGCCCGCCACGGACCGCGATGCCGTTCGGAACACACGACACACGCACACATCCTCAGTCGACAGTCGCGGACACAAACGAGAGAGAGAAGAGGAGAGAGAGAGAGAGGAGAGAGAGAGAGAGGGAGAGAGAGAGAGAGAGAGAGAGA